TACTTAATGACCAGAGCCAAAAACCATAATCACCCACCAAGAGCAGGTCTCTCCAAACAAGGATCCTTAAGTCCATACGTAAGAATACTCTTCATCATAAAAAATATATAAGGTTATACAAACAACGTGGCAGTATTAACTTGTTTGAGGCTTATTAACATTGGGAAAGTTTATGCTCAACGATACTGACAATTCCTGCAAGTGTCTTCAGGCTCACCGACACTGTACTTCATACAACGAATAAAACATCCCTGTGGCCTGTGCTCAGTCACTCAGTTGTGTCCGACTCTTTGTGGCCCCATAAGCTGCAGCTTGTCAGGCTCCTCTGGCCATGGAATTTCCCAGGCAGGAATACTGGAGTGGGTTGCCATTTCCTTCTTCAGAGGATCTTCCTAACTCAGGGATCGAACCAGCATCTCTTATGTCAGGTTCCTTACCACTGGTGTCACCAAAGAAGCCCAAATAAAACATTCGTCATAAATGAAGTATTCTGATTCTACATTTGAAAGCAAAATATGTTCATGAAACAATTCATAGCCTTTAGCAGAGGTCAATTTTGGGAGGTTAGAATCTTCAAATGGTGCTTATAAAGCTTTTTCAATTATAAGACCATATTTGGAAAATATCAAATAACCCACTGTTTTCAGAATGAGTGAAAAGAGAAGGGGCTAATAGTGAGATTTTTATGTTTTTCAAACGGAGGTGTAAGTTAAAAAAGTTAAACACTGTGTTAGAATAAAAAAAATTATGGCTACCAAATAATGGGATTTCATTTTCTCAAAATAAGAATGAAGTTGAAATCTTGCAGGATTTAATGCAGATTACTTAGGTAACATTAAGAAAGAGTACATCTATATAACAGTAGATATGGTCTTGGTATTGTTTTCTATAGAAATAATTTCACTTACTGTCCCTCTATCCTCTAAGGAGAATACCTAATGCTGCCCAGTATGCAGCAAATGGCTCAGAAGATAAAGGCCTGTTATTATACTGGAGACGCAATTCATCTCAATGGCCTTTCCTTCAAAACATCCATCATCTCAAAATCTCTCTCAGAGGAAATTACAAGGAATAGTGAACATGACATTTTCCATGTCCCCATACTGTTGTGAATACTGGCTCCAGAATGTCCTCAGATATCCCCCATTTCAAAGAGTATGAAGTGTAGTGGAATTAATTTGAATATTTTAATTTAGAAATATCTTACAAGGGGCACCCATAAAGCAACTCCAAAAATTTTGAAAATGGCCTTGATGGTTTCACTTGATAATGGGAAATCTAGGCAAGAATTCTCTATTAAATACAGTTACTTCAACTGTAGTAACTTCTAATAAGGCTGAGAAGTCCTGGCTAACATTTCTCCTGCCTTTTATGGGAATAAAAGTGGTATGCATGGTGAACACAGAATCGGACCCAATCCACAAAGAAATCCAAAATATAACGTTATTTTTCTTTTCTTTTTCTTTTGGGCATACCACGCAGCTTATGGAGTCTGCCAGGAAATTTCCTATAATGTTATTTTTAAAAGAAAGCTTCTCAGCAAATTTTAAAATCTTCCACTAGTAGTCCCCTTTAAAAAAATAACTTTTATAACTATATTTTTAAAAAATATACAAATATTTCAGTCACTGTGAACATGTTGGGAAAATAAATTAAAAGAATAAAAATGTTGCCATCCACCAATTATCCTTTTAATATCCTGGCTTTTTAACTTTCCATTTTCCTGGGCACTTGAATGCATATGCAAATACACATATGTGAAGGCACATCTATGAACCCAGAGTGTTTTGAAACATAATTTTCACTGAATGCACAGCATTCCAATCTGCAGTTAGGCCATGATTTATTTAACAGCTCCTCAGCTGTTGGATAAGTTGTAAAGCTAACATCCTATGATAACTTTCAGCCATACTGTAACATACTTAAATACGTCAAATTACTCAAAATCTTCGTGAAATGTGGCTAAGGGGCAATGTTAGTCACAGAAAAAAGAAGGACAAGGAAAAGTATTTTAACAGTAGTTACCTTTAGATGGTAAGATTGCAGGTAATTGAGGTTCTTTGTTAAACTTTTTGAACTTATCCAAATGATTTCTAATAAACATGTGCTGATAATCAGAAAACAATGTTAATTTACTAAAACAGAGACCAATGTTCCTATAAATAGACATTAGAATTCACTAATATGGGGAAATACAATTCACTGAAGATAAAAGGTAGCATTTAAGGTTGTAGATAAATACCTGTAACAACAAAAGACTAGATAAACTAAGTGTCTGACACCAGGGGGTGGTGCTTAACCAAACTATTTTACAACAGATTCACTAACGAGCTAAGAGAAAGTGAGAAGCCAATCTTTGTGTGCTGCTAGGGAAGGACAGAGAAGATGCTTTTCCCAATTAAGAAGACCAGGGTGTCTAACAGTATGTATCACGTGATTCTAACAGTTACAAAGGAAAGCAGAGTTAAAAGTTGGGGATGGGATGTGGATTGTTTTACATGCATAAAACACTTTTGAAAGGATACATAAACTATATCGGTCACTTCTAGGTTAAGTATGGAGAGTTGGCTATGTAATATGATCACAACATGAAAATGTGCATTAATACATAAATACATAATAGATAAAAAGTAAATTATTCATAGGAGAAAATCTGGAATCATTTCAAAGTTGTCTCCTAAGTACTTTTTTAAAGCAGAATCTAACAACGGATATAGAAAAATAATGGAAAAAACAGAAAGTTCAATCTGTGAATTGCAGGAATACAATTTAAAAATAACATAATAACTAGCAGTGAATATGTGTGCATTATAAACTGGTATTTCAAAACATACTTACACGAATTTTTATCACTAGCAAGGAAACAGCCAAAGAATTATTAAAGAAAACTAGTTTTTAATTAAACCATTCTAGAACTTATTAAACATGGGTGATTTTATTCCATGATTATCCTGCCATATTTACTCTGATTTACAAGCTCACTAATCCAGAGATAGAATATACAACCATAATTTAGGCAATAACAAATGAAAATAAGATTTTTATATTTTGAGATTTAACATAGTACTTTACTTTCCTCTAAAAACAAAGATAAAGAAACCAATTACAGAATGGGGCAGAGTGAGTTAGGAAGTCTGAAACATTAAAAAAATACTCCTAAAGTAGATGATCATTACTATTTTTAAAGCTCCCTCTAATAAAACTCAAATGAAAGAAGAATTACTTCATCTTTTGCAACATTTATGCTCCAGATGTGGACTGGAAACTAAGGTTGTCCCTAATAATTCTGCATCTGCAGACTGAATATGAGTGATTTACTGAGGTACACCTATCTAAAAAACAAAACAAAACAAAAAACAGTCCAAATCGTTTAACATTCGACGCAGTCAATAACAAGCCACCGAATTGGTATTCTTTTTATGTGTACAGCTTTCATACAGACTTTTAACACTCATTAATACCGTGCCTTACCTAGAAAACATTATCATTGGGGATTCATGACCACAATCAGCACCTAATACTGGATAACACACCCCACAGCAGAGAGGTAGGAATCAAACCAGAGAATACAAAGAAAAATACTGCCACTAACTTCCACTTCACATCTGGGACCTGACAATTCTCCTTCCATGTCCCCCATCAGTGTGGCACCTGGGGATTGGCTTAGCTAAATGGAACAGGAAGGTATTATGATTTATATATAGATTCCCTTTATTTTCTGGGAAAATTATCCTTTCCGACCCAGAGTGTGGCTTCAAGGGGAATTTTTAGCAGAATGGAGGGACAACTAGCTGTGATAATCCTGACGATCAGACAGGTTATTGATCACAGCGCCATTAAGCAGATGTCTGCTAATTCAGTTTAAGAAATGTTCTCTCACCTGAAACATGGGACCCAAGGCAGAAGATGAGCGCAGCACTAGGAGGTGCACTTTCCCACTTTCAGTGAAAATGCTCTTGCCTGGTAGGAGCTGAGGAGCTGAGACCCATTTACACTCTATTTTGTCCTGAAATAGCACCACGGATTGGGGCCACTTTGTTAACAGTCCATCATGTTATCACTCACGCAGGTGTCACAGCACACAACCAACACTGCCACTTCCTTGTGGAAAGGACTCCCAATTCCTTGAGGAAAGGATCAGCTCTGTACAATCCAGGCTGCTCATAGCTGGGGCTGAGAAAACGCCTTTCGAAATAATGTTTCTCTGCATCCTGGTGACTGAACTTGCTTTCCTATACTTACTTGGATTTTTTTTAAGTTCCTTTCCATTACCTTTTACACTGTGGATCTAAATCTTAAAATCCACTACACCCTGAGCGGCCTTAGGAAAAAGGAGAACGGAAGTTGCCCCCGCCAGGAAATGTGGAAGAGGAGGGTTGGGAAGGTCAACAGCGACACAGGAGAGAGAGAGAGAAATCCAGTGAAACTCAAGTAGGTTTAAGTCCGTTAAACCTATTTCGAGGCAATTCGTTTCGTTGCCTAACTGGCTTTTCCGGCCATCCAGACAGCGCTGAGGTGAATTAACACTAGCCTTCTCACTCCCCGCCTCTAGTCTGCGGGTTCCAGGTTTCCTTTTCTCGGAGAATTCAAATGCTACCTTCACCATTACCTCTTTTGCAGACTGCTCCTCCCATCCCCTCCGAACCCCCCACCCCCCAACTTTGAGAGCTAAGAATAAAGGGGAGGGGGCTGAGAAGGCCGCGAAGAGAAAAAGGAGGCAGGGTTACCCTCTCGCCTGCGCTACCCCCGGCCAAGTCGCCTGCTGCCTTCTCGGTTTCCAGCCCGTCCTCCCAAAGCGGCGGAACCCGGGCGCTCCAGGGAGGCAGGATGAGAGCGGCCTCCCGAGCCGGCCTTGTCCAACGATGATGCGCCCTCGACCGCCGCTCCTTCGCGGGGTCGGGCCTGGCTGCCCCGGGATGAAGTCCGTCGTGGCCTCCGCCTCCCCGCACCCGGGCCCCGCCTCCCGCCCGCCGCCCCCGGGCCGCTGTCGAAGCCCTTACCCGCAGGACGTGGTAGCCTTCTGTGCCCCCGCCTGGGATCTCGACGCTCTGCGAGGAGCCCATGGCGGCGGGCGATCAGTGTGGTCGGGCTGGGTTCCGCGCTGCTCCCCGCCTCCCGCGCGCCGTCCGCTCCGCTCCTCCGCGTAACACTTGGGACGTGGCACTCGCTGCCGCCGGAGAGCCGGGCCGCACTGCCCGCTGGGAGATGGTCACCGCGGCAGCCAGGGCCGCTGCGACGCCGCAGACAGCGCCACCTGCCGCGAGCCACCGGGAGGGGTCTGAGGCGCCACGCGGGCGGGGAAGTAGGGAAGCCTGGAGCGGAGGGCGGGGTGAGGCCTACTTATGCTCGCGAGAGAGCAGAAATACGGTTCATCCGGCCTCGATACCTTGCTACGGGTCCCTGGGCTTGTCAAGATTCATCTAGACGCGTTCCCGCTGTTCCTAAAGAACAGTTGCTCGACTGTAGCTCCCCCTGGTGGCCAGAGGCCGGAAAGAGGCTCCTGCTGAAAAGAAAAGAAAAGATTGCCCGATGCAATCACAGGGAGCTCCCTATTCGTAGGGTTTCTGAACTTGTAGGTCATGTCTCCGGGTTATACTGAGGATCCTGGTAGTGGCTCTCCGTGAGCGGGCTACCGCGTCCGCCCAGCTCCGCTCAGTTTTATAAAAGAAAATGTTCCCTTTATAAAACACCTGTCCTAGAGAGTCATGGAGGACCCATCAAAGTTCTCTTTTTGTTTTTGTTTTTTGCCTTCCCTCATTGTGAAAATATCAGTCTGTCACAACCTGAGCGATGCCAGTGTGGGAAACCCAGTTGGATGACCTTAGCGTTGCACTGCCGGCTGGGTTCCCCATTCCACTTCCTTTAGGTAGTTGTAGTCACACTTTTCCTATTCGGTTCCACCTTTTATCCCTTCCCCCACGCCCCCTAAATCCCCAGTTACTGCCCACGGGCCAATTCCATCAGCGACGGAAGATGAACCAGATATCAGAACAAATGTATTCTAATATGAAGCAACGTGAAGTACCCATGAAGTATTCCAGCCCAAAAGGTTTACTTGCTCCTCTCACGCCTCTAGTTAGATCTTCCTGTTTCTGTTTACAGGAATACAGAGGATAGAAAAATAAGTAAAATGACTTCACAAGGAAGCCAGCACGCAAAAAAAAAAAAAGAAAGAAAGAAAGAAACTGGCTATTCTTTAGAACAGTTAGCCAGTTCTTTTCATCAAGTCAGAATAAGAAGAAAAGGTTTAAGACTTCACTGACGGTCCAGTGGTTACAAATCCACCTGCCAGTGCAGGGGACATGGGTTCCATCCCTGGTCCAGGAAGATTCCACATGCCTTCGGGCAATTAAGCCCATGTGCCACAACTACGGAAGCCCCCATGACCACATGCTCCAGAAGAAGCCCATGCTCCACAAGAACAGAAGCCACTGTAATGATAAGCCTGTGCGCTGCAACTAGAGAAAGCCTGCACACAGCAATGAAGACCCAGCACAGCCAAAACAAAGTAATAAAAATTTTTTTTAAAAGAAAGGGTTTATGCTGGGTTAAGAGATATGAAGGAAATAACCAGGAGATGCAGTGAAAGGTGTTGAGTTGGGGGCTGATTTGAAGAAATCTTCTGTAAAGGACATTTTGGGCTTAATTGGGAAAATGTGAATACTGTTTGAAGAAAAGCATTTACTGTCATGGAAAAGTGGAAATTAATGACTGAAAAAAGCAGGCTATAAGACAGAATATGCCTATAAACAATATGAAAACATTTTTGTAAATAAAATACATGTTAATATATAATATGCATATAACAATGTGGCATGATACCAACCAAGGGTAACAGCGGTGATCCCTGAGCAGTGACAGAGGTGTTTGCTTTTTTGTTTTGGCTGGTTCTACATTCTAAAATGCTCATGGACTGCTTTTGTAACAAAAGTATTTAAAATTAAAAAATCAAAAATAATATTTCTTTCTTTGCTGTCAATAGACCAATACCAGGTTTTTAGGAAACCCAGTACATACATAAATAAATGAAATCTCCAGTTATTAGGCTCCTCAAGGATGGGAAAGGTAGGGGAATCAGCTCTGTGTTCCTAATATTCTACAGAGTGTTTGTCAGTTAATTCAGCAAATTAATGAAACTAACACAATGGAGTAAGTATAAGAACTGGATTTGATGATTATTTTCTTGTTCTGCTTGGCAATTAAAATCCTCTTCGTGGTGAGGTCATAAGTCATTGCTGTGTTCAATGGTCAAAATTTTTGTTTCCCAGACGTCCAGCATGATGCCATGGTTTGCAGAGCCCTGGCTGTAGACCCAAGGTAGCCCATGAGCAACTTCCACCCTTCCTTAGAGCTATAATGTGTCTCAGCGCTACGAGTGACTACCTGCTATTTCCCATACAGACCATTTAGTGTTTTACCTTCTTGACTTTACTCAAGCTCATCCATACATCTGAGATGCTGTTTTCCACATTTTCTATTTCAAAAAATTCCAACTAATCCCTTAAGACCCATCTCAAATGTCACTTATTTACCCTTAAATTCAATATGACTCTCTCCTTGTCCTGAGTTCCTGGAATAGTTACTTCCTTCATTTCTGGTAGCATCATCACACCCCCACCACCACACTGTCTTCCACCATTTATAGCCTATTCACTCAGACTGAGGATCATATTTTTCCCTTTTAGATTCCCAGTTCTTGTTTGAGTGTTGGGAACATGGTAGTAATGTTCGTTGATTTGAATGTGTGTGATGAAGAGTTTCCAAACCTTTCCTTTTCAGGACCAGTTAATAAGTTACCTCTGCTGTTCCTGTTTGTGCCTCATCAAACCCTGGGTTATTTCTCTAGTGGCAACTGGTAGAGGGTGAGGTGCAAGGCTCACCCGATTTGGACCTGAGAATATGTGATAACCATTGCTCCTATTTTCCTAGTGCCATTCATTTTCCTCTTTTACTTGGGGAAGTATGTTCAGAGGGCAAAGAATAAAATCCCAAGGATGTTGCCAAAGCTAATATAAATTCATGTCATGATAGAAGGGAATGCTTGGGAGATTATTGTCCAAATCAGTCTCAGTTGAAGTAGGACTCTGCTGCAGGCAAGTTGGTATTTTGAAACATCACAGGCAACAGAAAAATAAAGCCCAACAAAAGCAAATATCTACAGACTAAAAGAAATCAAATAAGATGAAATCTATTTTTCTGGAAGAAAAAGCATCAGAGATGCAATTTTGTGTGTCTATTCTGGGTTTCATTAATTCTGAGTTTCCATAAATAACTAGTTCATGATAGAAGGGATATTTGTAACATATTGGCTAGTACAGCCTAATATTTTTTGCCTCCAGACTACTCTGGGAAAGTTTGGCTCCTAGGGCATTTGGAGGGCAACCACTCTGCATAGTCAAATAGCAGGGCCTCCTTCATCTATACCCTTTCCTGAACTGGATTGTTTTGCTGAGGGAGCAGACCTCAGGAGGGGTCATGTTATATGCCTTAGAACCCCAGTCATAGCTAACTGGAGTAGAGGGGACCCCCTGACTTATCAGCAACCAACACCTGCACTAACCAATAACCTGTGGGATGGCTATTAAGAAAAGCTCTGCCTCCACCCACCCACCTCCCTACCCCCAAAAAACAAACAACAGTTGATAGTGACTAGCTTGGTCAATAGATTTTCTCTTTGGGCACTGGGAGCTAAGAAATATAAGCAGAGACCTTCTCTCAATGTATGCTTATTTGCATATTAGAATGTAGATTCCATGAGGTCTTTGCCTTTGACAGTTTCAAAGAACACTGGTCAGGGACCTGCTGGTGGTCCGCTGGCTAAGACTCCACACTCTCAATGCAGGGGGCCCAAGTTTGATCCCTGGTCATGAAACTAGATCCCATGTGCTGCAACTAAGACTCCGAGTGCCACAACTAAAGATTCTTCATGCTGAAGTAAAGATGATAGTCCACTTGCCACAACTAAGACCCAGTGCAGCAAAAAAAAAAAAAAAAAAAGAGTATTAGTCAGGTACTTTGCAAAATATACAAGCATTTGGTGTCTCTAATGTTTTCTTGAGCAAACTCCAGGAAACAGTGGAAGACATGGAACCTGAAGTGCTATAGTCCATGGGGTCTCAAAGAGTCTCACACAACTTAGCAACTGAACAACAGCAATGCTGTTTTCATGATTAGACTTGGTTTATGGAATTTGGGGAGCAAGACTAAGAGGTGAAGTGCCCTTTTAATTACATCATAGCATTACATCATTGCATCATTCACTATAGCATGACATTGCTGGTGATGTTAACTTTGATCCTTTTGTTAAGATGCTATCTGCCTTAATAGTGAAGTTACTATATTTCTCTTTCCCCTAGAAGCAAGTTACTAAGTCTAGCTTACCCTTAAGTTCCACCTCCTAGATGGGGGAATATACAGAAATAATCTGGAATTCTGCTATAAGAAATTTTGACTTTTCTCTCCTATTTATTTATTTAATCATTTTACTCATATAAAATGATTAGGCTCATGTATATTTTATTATATCCTTTGACTATAATCCAATACCATGTTATTCAATGCTGGTAGGAAAGCAAAATGGTATATTTTGTTGTTCAAATTGTTTCAGCTTTGCTAATTGGGACCGCTTTTGGGCTGGCTTCTGCATCCCTTTGACAGGCTTTTGTGTGTGTGTTAAAATACAAATAACCTAAAATTTACCATCTTAAGCGTTTTTAAGTGTAAAACTTAGTGGTATCAAGTACATTCACATTGTTGTGCAGCCATTCTTTTGTTATTTGAGCATTTCTGTACTTGATGGCTACAAAATGCTCCAGGCTTATCTTGTATTTTTCCTGTTTCAGTCCTAGACTCAGCCGTCCCTCCAAGGAGCTCTGATACCTTTAAGTGGAAAATGGTATTTAGAAGCTACGATGTTGGTGCTGGGTATGCTGTTTGCTATTGAAGTGTCACCACCCTTTGATCTCCTCAGCAGACAGAGCCAGAAAACATGTTACTATATACTGATCTAAGTATAGACACATATTTATAATATTTCTATATTTCTCTATCTGTGTATATTAAACTAAATATAAGTTCATACTGTCTCCAACTCTAATTGAGCACTACAGGATTCAGTCTGGCATTTTCCCCATGTTTATTTGTCACTTCTGCCTCTGACAGTGAGAAACCTATCTTCTATTACCTATCATTTATTTATGCTTTACTCATTTTTTCAACTTTAGTACAT